CTGCGGCCCCGGGGGGGGGTGCAGCAGGGAGGGCTTGGCAGGCACAGCTGGCTTGGGCAGGACCCGGGGTTTGGGCCGGACAGGAGGCTTGGGGCGAGCGTTGCCTGCAAGACAAGCAAGGAGAGGAGAAAGGCCATGTTGGAAGAGCACTACAGCCCCGCCAGGCTCCCCAGGGAAGGCCAGCGGGGTGCATCAGGCTGAGAACAGATCTCAGGCCGGTGCCTGGCATCCCCAGAGCGGGTTTCCCAGCACAAACCAGACTGGCAAACCCCCCAGTCCCGATCTCCCGCCCCCGTGGAGACAGACCTTTCTCGGGGCTGCCAGCTACTAGCCCGGCCCCCCCAGCACCTGTGGCAGAGGCACAGGGCAAGGCAGGGTGCAGGGGCTGCGGCTGGGAGGCCATCGCGAACCTAGGGGCGGAGCTCAGTGGACACAGTGCAAGGTCAGCCCCTGGGAAGAGAGGAAGGAAGGAGAAGCATTTTGAGGAGGATGTATTTTGTTTCTTTTTCCCCATTCCTCTCCCTCCCCCCCCCCCCCCCCCCCCCAGCCACGCTGTGCCGTGGTACCAACCTCCCAGCCCTGTGCCAAACCCTCACGTCCACCTGTGCCAGCACCTGGACAACGTGCCAAGCCACTATCACGCTGCCAAACCTCTCTTCGTCCATACCACCCTTTGTACACCGGCCCCAGTTCACCTGCACCAGCCAGGCACAGCGCAGTAACCCCAAACACCGCGTCAACTCCCCCTCTGCTTGTACCCTTTTGTACACGTCAGTAACTGCCTGTACCCTCTGCTCGTTCTCCTGGACTGGCTCCCGCACACTGTGACCCCCCACACACACACCATGTGTTTCCTTGTTTACCTGTCCCAGCCCTGCGTTAGCCTGTCCCAGCACCCCAACACACACATATCACCCCCACCTACTGGTGCCAACTCCCCCAGACACCAGGCCAGTTCACCCCAGTAACCACACTAGCCCTCTACCCCACACGCCAGCCCCAGCTCCCGTGCCAAGACCGG